TGGACATGGGGTCTTTGTGTATGGAGTTTGCATGTTCTTCTCATGCTTGCGTGTGTTTTCTCCAGGTTCCTCCCACAGATCAAAAACATGCACGTTAGTCTGCTTCAGGTCCAGGCCGCCCTGTAAAAGAGATCTGTGATCTCAGTGGGATTTGCCTGGTTAAATAAAAGGTTAATAAGGACAGGTATGAGGACAGCAGGACAAGTATGAGGACAAGAGGACAGTGGTGAGATGTGCTGTAGGAGTGACAGATAGCTTCAAGGTGGAGGTGGGAGTGCATCAAGGATCAGCTCTGAGCCCCTTCTTGTTTGCTCTGGTGATGGACCGACTAACAGATGAGGTCAGGCAGGAATTCCCATCAGAGGATGACATTTTTTCGGGAGTACCGCGGGTCACGTGATTCCGGCCGGATTCCGGCGGGACCGGAGTCAACCTCATTATAACTCACGTGACCGGGACGTGACCGGACTGAAAGCTAACGGGAGCAGACAGGAGCGGGAACCGACCAATAACTAAAAATAAAAATGAAACAAACAAAAAAAAAAACGGGCGCAGCTATTTTGTAATTTTCAGCACATTTTTCTCCACCTTGTCCCTTTAAATTTAAAAATGATGCTCTGCTTTGTTATGTGGGTTTTTAGGTTAAAATCTTCTTTATCCGTCGCTGTTTGTAATGTTAAAAACAACCGAACTCTTCCTGGTTAAAGTGCACGCATTCTCCGGTAAAAATATCCCTATTTTTATATTGTGACGTCCTGCTGGACACTGGAATGGAGGAAAACATGAATAACCATCACTTTACTGAGTAAATAGTTACTGTCGGCTGTAACCATGCCACTACAACAAACTCCTTAGTGAAAGCATTCTCCGGTAAAAATGTCCCCGTTTTTATATGAAAGACTGGTTGCATATATATTATAATAACTTTTGGTTTTAGATTTAAGATATGATGTGTACAATTATGTTGTTGTGTTAAATTGTAGAGTTGATTTTTCTCGGTTCATTTCTTCACACCAGGGGTGATTCTAGAAGCTCTTTTTAGGGGCCTTAGGCCCCCCCCAGTGTTGACAATGGCTCTTGGCTTGAACACCACATTGTATTAGCATTAGAATTATTGTGGGGGGACATATTGGTGCGAGGTCTGTGGGTCCTCCCCCATAACTTTGTGAATGAAGCAGCTGCTATTTCCTGCGTTCTGGTGTATTTTAACAGGTTTTAAAACATTTGTTTACCTACAGAAGTAAAGGTGCACCACCGTGCTGCCCTCAGTGCAAGATCTTGGTGAAGAATTAATGCAGCGCTGGATGGAAACAGATGTTGTGACGTTGCAGAAGCTTATCGAAACATGTCACAGTGCATGATGGTATCAAAGATAAAGGAGGTCCAACGACATATTAGTGAGTGACCTCTTCTCTTGTGTGGCCAGGCAGTGCATTTACTCATCTTTTTTCATACTTCAGAACATTCTACCAAAGAGCTACTCTTAACAGGAACTACTTCCTTTCGGTTGAACAGGGTCCTTCAAAATAAAAGCCCAAGGAATCTGCATACATACCCTCACACCGTGTGCTGGACGTTTGTCACAAACAAGAACAGAGCACGGCGCACTTTCCATGCACTTCTTTAATAGATCAGTTTCTCATATTCACAACAAATACATTAAGCTTTCTCCTTTTTGTACAGCCATAAATATTTTTACACTAAACCACTTCATCAAAATGTCTTCGCCTCATTTGCTCATTTTGAAATGCGTTGTGTTCTCCATGCCTCAGAGCAACCAGACAGGATTTTCTTTCTACAACTATTTACAGGTGAAAAACAAACCTTCATAAAGTTGATAGTTCTCAGTTGAATGAATTGTTGGGTTTAAGGTGCAGGCAGAGAGGAGAGCTTCAGAAGAAGAAGCATCAAGGTGGAACAGAGGTCCAGACCTCTGTGCACAAACACAGAAACTGCAAAAAGCTTTCTCAGGTTCCTCCATGAGCTGAAGACGAGATGATCCAACTGGCTGTGGAGCAGAATGGGCGAGGTCTGGAGGACCCTGAAACCTGGAGATCTGTTTGAACCTTCAGGTCTCATATGGGATCATTTAACACGTTCTTCATCTTCTTCATTGTCCACATGTACAGAAGCATGCAGGGCAGGAAAAGGACGATGACAGAGAACTGCCGCCATCTTTAAACAGAAAATTACAAAGTTCCAAGGTCAACATGGAACATCCATCCATCATCTTGTTCTGGACTCAGGTCTCGGGGGCAGCATCTTGAGCAGGCAGGTCCAGACATCTCTCTCCACAGCCTCTTCCAGCTCTTCTGGGAGGACTCCAAGGTGTTCCCAGACCAACAGAGACATGGTCTCTCCAGAGTCCTGGGTCTTCCCCGGAGTCTCCTCCCAGTTGGACATGCCTGAAGCACCTCCCTAGGGAGGCGCCCAGGGAGCATCTTTACCAGATGAACCACCTCATCTGGCTCCTCTTGATGTGGAGGAGCAGTGGTTCTCCTCTGAGTCTCTCCTGATAACTGAACTTCTCCCCCTGTCTCTGAGGGAGAGTCCAGCTCTGCAGAGGAAACTCATTTAACCTCCTGGATCCACGATCTCATTCTTTCAGTCTCTACCAAAGTTCATGACCAGAGGTGAGGGGAGGAACGTAGACTGACCAGTAAACAGAGAGCTTTGTCTTACAGCTCAACTCCTTCACCACAATGGACCGGTACAGAGTCCACAATACTGCAGATTCTAATCCCAGCTGCTTCACACTGTGCTGTGAACCGCTCCAGTGAGAGCTGAAGATCACGGCACGATGATGCCAACAGGACCACATCATCTGCAAAGAACATACTGAGACCACTGAACCGGACTCCCTTCACCCCCTGGCTGCATTGAGACATTCTGTCCATGAAAGTTCTGAACAGAATCAGTGACAACGAGCAGCCCTGGTGGAGTCCAACTCCTTACTACCAGCAGGCTCTGAACATGTCAGCTCCCTCTCCACCACAACATGGAACATCAGTCTGAAGTTACTGTAGGGTCACAAACATCAAGGGTCAGGGTGCTGGACTTCTGAGGGCTCAGTGAGGAGGTCCATGTCCTCACAGCTTCTGTGTGCAGATAGTTCCACCCCGGCTTCATCAGACTCAAAACCTGCACAGATAAAGGTTCATCAGTCGAATGCAGATGCTGCAGGTCCGTTCTGCTCAGACCCAACTAATCAGCCAGATGTGTAGGTGGGTCTTCAGGGCACGTTGGGAGCATAGCTCGGCACTTCATCACCAGATGGAGGGTCCAAAACTCCTACAGTGAAACCGTGGATCTTTCATCAGTGGCGGTGAGGAACGGGCGGTAGTTTTGAACGTTTGAAAAATGTTTGAAAATTTGATGAATGTAACATTTTTAGTGAATGATACGCCTGATAGTGACGAGCAGTTTTCTACGGGCGCTTCTCCAACGCACCCACAGGAGATGCTGCTCCACGAGGACCTGTGGAAACGAGCCTTTGGTCGGCTGCAGAAGATTTAAACATAAAGAACCAGGGAGGCCCTGAACGTCCCATGGTGCTGACTCAGCACCCAGTCAGAAAACTGGATCCTGATCCTTTGTGTCACCACCAGTGGTTTTGGTCAACTGGTCCCTCTCTATGGACCAGTAGAACCTCTGATGTCACCAGATCCAGAGGAGCCTGTAGAGCAGCAGCCACAACAAACTGGACCAAGATGCTGTGAAGGTGGTCTGTGAGGAATGATGGGAGGACTGGTCCAGTCCAGAGTGATGCTGGTTTCACTTGCTGCAGTCTGGCTCCAGCACACGAGTCCTGTTCTACAACGTCTTCTGCACCACCAACACCTCCTTCAGTTCAAAAGCTTTGATCCTTCTCAACAAAGTGCACAAAGTTCACAGATGAACAACAAGACGCCACAGTCAGCGTCTGCAGGCCTGCCCGCAGGAACCTTCAACACAGACACTGAATGAGCTTCATGAAGACACGTGTTCTGGTCCATTCAGCAGGTCCAGTCCACCAGGACATCGTCCACAGCCCCCACCCTGGCCCACCCACCATGTAAGAACAGAAGCTCTTGGAAGCTCAAAGAAGCTGCGAGGACAGCGTGGAAACCCTGGTCCACCTTCTTGTCATGGCTTCCAGCACCTGCAGACAGAGAGCTGTGGAGCTTCAGGTTTGTTTGGTGGACGGTGAAGACCTGGTCTCCTGCAGAAACAGGAAACCTTCAGTCCAGCAGCCAAAGTACCTGCACAGGTGGGTTTCAACCCTTTTGATTCCGAGTGTGGGGCAGAACCAGAAGTTTGAGTCCAGACAAGCAGAGACCTTGGATGCGACCTTGGTGCTGGGGTGATGAAAGTGTCTAGTCATGATGTCTGAAGTTTGGTTCCATTATTCTGAGTGGGTCAGGACTGATGGGCGGGACAGGAGGACGTCGTTGAACAGACTTCACCACAACCGCCGTTCGCCGGGCGAACGTCGTTTCGCCGACGGCCTGTGATCACCAGGGCTCAAAACGCTGGTCCCCCAGCCCTGCTGGGCCGAGAGCTTTGACTGTGACTTGTCACTGAGTTGAAGGAAAACCTCATGAGGTCTTAGTCTCTGAACAGACCTGGACCAGAACAACCAGTGAAACAAACATGAAAATAAAACACCAGCAGCTCATCTCAGACGGATGACGGACAGGACCGGGTCTGCCGTGGCTCAAAGTGCAGCTGAACGGCCCGGTTCAGAACCGAGCCTCTGCTTGGACCTTCATCTTTCCTTCAGCAGACGAGTTCTTCTCCAGAACTCAGTTTTATGTTGTGCAGACGTCCTTACGTCCCGTTCTCCTTGGGTTGGTGGTTCTGGTGTCATCTGGGCCTGTTCCTGATCCAGGCTGTCCTGCAGGATGGATTCCAGCACCGGCGCCTTCTCCAGGGACCAACAACAAAAAACAACATTCTTTCAGGCGAGCTCTTTTTAAAACCAGCAATGAATGAGTCCACCGAGGAGACATGTCTGAGGTGACGAGGGACGGACCGCTGAGAACGGCTGCCGTTACTTGAAGGAAAACTCTCCTGAAAGACAAGAACAAAGACAGTGAGTCAACTGGAGGACGAGTCAGGACTGTCCCTGGTCCTGGACACAAGGGGGGACACAGACACATCCATCAGCTCGACGGTCACAACAGGAAACAAAAACAAAAACCTTCAAACCCTTCGAGAAGCAAAGAGACAAAGACTGACGAGACAAACGTCACTTCCTGTGAAGGACAGAGTCAACGATCGTTGAGGAACTAACGTGTATCACTGACCTGCTGCTTCCACCTCACTCTGTCCTCTGTGTCCTCACTCTGTCCTCTGTGTCCTCACTCTGTCCTCTGTCCTCACTCTGTCCTCACTCCAACTACCTTCATGTCCTCTCTAACTGCATCCATATGTCTCCTCTTTGTCTTTTTCCAGGCAGCTGCATTTCTAACATCCTTCTACCGATATACCCACTGTCCCTCCTCTGGACATGTCCAAACCACTGTCCCTCCTCTGGACATGTCCAAACCACTGTGCCTCCTCTGGACATGTCCCTCCATCTCACTGTGTCCTCCAACTTCATCTCCCAGCTGTTGCACCTCTGATGATCTCATTCCTCCTGCCTGGTTCTTCTCTGCGAGTTAAAAGGTTTGATGTGATCCAGCAGAACATCTGTACAGATTCAAGAGTTTGTGGCAGCATGAACCATCTGGCTCTGCAGTAACAGTCCTGTCCCTGCAGGTCTTCCTGAACTTACCGTAGCCTCCGGCCTGGATAGGGGTTTTAGGAGAGGCGCAGGCGTACAGGCTGAAGTCCTCTGTCTGAAAGCCGGCGCGGTTTAACGACGGCTCTGAGGCGCTGCGGTGAATTTTGGGTAACGAGCGAGCCAGCAGCTCAATGGATGCCAGGATCTGAAAACACAAAAGGCCCTGGGGTCAGTTTGTGACCGCACTGTCCCAATCAAACCATCAGCACGAAGAACCTGCTCCCGTTCAGCTGCTGCTCCTCACTAGAGATCCTCTGAGGACATCTAGTAACAAAATCTGTCCAAATCACACATAACTATCATTCAACCTTTATTTCTACATGTTAGTCCCACTGAGCCTCAGGGACTCTTCTACAACAGAGACCTGATTTATTTAACAAAGAGTGACGACAACAGTGGACAACAACAATCATAAAAGATACGTACAAATTACTTTTTTTAACAAGTGAAAATAAAATGACATTTAAAAGGAAAGTAACAATGAACAGCTAGGTTGTAGGGCGGTGTAGAAAACCAACATGTCATACTGATCCAACCATTTATCTGTTCATCCATCCATCAGTTCTTGTCCTTGAATCTCCACCTTATCGTGGTGGAGTTGGTGCTCCTGACTGATCCTAGGAGCTCTGCTGTCGGGGCGATGGCCCCCTGGTAGGGTCTCCCAAGACAGATTGTTTCTAGGTGACAGGCCAGACAAAGAGCGATTCAGAAGACTCTATGGACAGAAACAAACCAGTAGCTCAGTGTCCCTGACCTGGACATGTGTTACCGGGGCCCCACCTTGGAGCCAAGCCTGTGGGATGGACTCGTTGGCGAGCGCCTGGTGACCGGGTCTCTACCCATGGGGCCCGGTCAGGCTCAGCCCGAATGAGTGACATGGGTTTGCCTTCCTGTGGACCCACCACCTGCAGGAAGGACCATGAGTCGGGTGCATGAATTCATGGGCAGTGGCTGAAGGCGGGGGCCTTGGTGCTCTGACCCTGGCTTACCAAAGCTACTCTTGGGACATGGAGTGACCTCTCTGGTGGGGAAGGAGCCTGAGCTTGTGCGTGAGGTTGAGAGGTACCGCCTAGATCTAGTTGGGCTCACCTGGACACAAAGCATGAGCTCTGGAACTGATCTCCTTGAGAGGGACTGGACCTTATTCCACTCTGGAGTTGCCCATGGTGAGAGGCGTCGAGCTGGTGTAGGTCTACTTGTAGCCCTCCCGACTTGGTGCCTGTGTGTTGGAGTTTTCCCCGGCAGATGGGAGGGTAGTTTCCCTGTGTCTTCGGGTGGGGGGACGGGCTCTGACTGTTGTTTGTGCCTATGTGCCAAAAGGCAGTTCAGAGTATCCAGCCTTCTTGAAGTCCTTGACGGGGGTGCTGGAAGGTGCACCAGCTGGGGACTCCTTTATTCTGCTGGGGGACTTCAATGCCCATGTGGGTAATGACAGTGTGACCTGGAGGGGCGTGACTGGGAGGAACGGCCTCTGATCTGAACCCAAGTGGTGTTCTGTTGTTGGACTTTTGTGCTAGTCATAGTTTGTCCATCACGAACACCATGTTTGAACATAAGGGTGTCCAGGGTGTATGTATGTGAATGTTCCTGTAAAGTGCCCAGAGACAACTTTGTTGTGATTTGGCGCTTTATAAATAAACTGAATTGAATAAGTGCACTTGGCACCAGGACGCCCTAGGTCATAGATCGATGATTGACTTTGTAGTCGTGTCATCTGATTAGCGGCTGTTTGTTTTGGGCTCTCGGTTGAAGAGAGGAGCTGAGCCGTCAGCTGATCACCACCTGATCAGATGGTGGGGGAAGATGCTGGACAGACCCGGTAGACCCAAACGTGTAGTGAGGGTTTGCTGGGAACGCCTGGCAGAAGAACCCATCAGTGAAATCTTCAACTCACACCTCAGGGAGAGCTTTAACCACATCCCAGCTGAGGTGAGGGACATTGAGTCTGAGTGGGCCATGTTCAGCGCCTCACTTGTCAAGGTAGCTGCCTTGAGCTGTGGCCGCAAGGATGTCGGTGCTTCTCATGGTGGCCATCCTTGAACTCAATGGTGGACACCCCGGGTTAGGGAGGATGTCAAGCTGAAGAAGGAGTCCTGTCGGGCTTTGTTGCCCAGTGGGACTCAGGAGGCAGTTGAGGAGTACTGGAGGTCTAAGCGGTCCACAGCCTTGGTTCTTGCTGAGGCAGAACCTCGGATGTGGGAGGAGTTCAGTGAGACCTTGGATAGAGACTCTCAATCAGCTTTGAGGAAATTCTGGCAAACCATCAGGCGACTGAGGAGGGAAAAGCAGCTCTTTACTAACACTGTGTTCAGTGAAGGTGGGGTGATGTTGACCTCAACCAGTGATGTCATCGGGAGGTGGAAGGAATACTTCTTGGACCTTCTCAATCCCACCAGCACGTCTTCCATGGAGGAAGCCGAGCCAGGGGACTTTGGGGTTGAACCGTCCATAACTGTGGCTGAGGTCGCTGAGGTAGTTAAAAAGCTTTGAGGAGGCAGAGCTCCAGGGGTGGATGAGATTCACCTGATTTCCTTAAGGCTCTGGATGTTGTGGGGCTGTCTTGGTTGACATGCCTTTGAAACGTCGCATGGACATTGGGGGCAGTGCCGCTGGATTGGCAGACTGGGGTGGTGGTTCCCCTCATCAAAAAGGGGGACCAGAGGGTGTGCTCCAATGATAGGGGCATCACTCTCCTTAGATTCCCTGTAAGGTCTATTCAGGGGTACTGGAGAAGTGAGTCCAATCATTGGTCAAACCTCAGATCCAGGAGGAACAATGCGGGTTCTGTCCTGGCTGTGGAACACTGGACCTGCTCTTTACCCTCACTAGGGTCCTTGAGGGGTCATGAGAGTTTGTCCATCCAGTCTACATGTGTTTAGAGGACTTGGAGAAGGCATTTGACCATGTTCCTCGGGGTACACTGTGAGGGGTGCTCTGTATGGGAATGGGGGCCCGTTGTTGCGGGCTGTTTGGTCCCTATACAAGCGGTGTATGCCTCTCACTTTGACTTGGTCATTTTAAAAGTAGCTCGCATGCTGAAAAAGTGTGGGCACCCCTGCAGGGTCTGAGGTGGAGCTCGTTTTGATTTCTTCATTCTGTTTCAGCATTTACGTCTCACCTGGGGGAAGAGCGGTCGCTCTTCTCGCTTCTTCTTCAGACAGTCCGCCATCAACCTCTTCATGGCCTTTGGACAGTTGCTGCGCACCTTGCTCAAGTCAGGAGACAGGTAACCCCGACCTACCATAAAAATGATCTGAGGGAACAGGAAACACACCAATACAAACAATAAGTGCTTCAAAATGATCAGATATTAGAACTAAGTTTTAACACTGGAAAAAAAAAGTTAAGAAACAAAAAATAACTGGACGTCTAAGGCTGAAGACATGTGGCTTTCAGGACATGGCGGCGGGGGTGGGGATTCATGACAAAATGGATGTTGTGAGTCTTGAGGATGTCTTCATGAAGTCCACTGAACTGGGTCAAAGGATGGGACAGCTTCCGACGGTGCGTGCATGGTGATACAAACCATGTTGTAAAAGTCGTGGCAGCTCTGCCACAAGTCAAAGAATACGCAGCTCCAACGAGAACGATCAGACAACAGTGACCGTTATTACACACGAGGGCACCAGAACAAGAGACGGGTCATGTTCCGGCATCAGACTGTGGAGCGTTCTTGTTTTTATGGTGACTGTGACATTTCTAATCTGCTACAAAACATTTCAACATGATCCAAAGCGCAGGAGATCAGCTCCTCTTCCATCTCCTTCAGCTGAGGCTGATGAAAACTGGTGAATCAAACTGGGTGACGTTGTGGTTGCAAGGAAGCCACCAGTGAGCCACACGTTGCTTCACCAGGCTCTGAAAGTGGCCCTTTGTTTTTTCATGCACTACCAAAACTGTATTTTAGCCCATGAACATTTTCTGTACCTAAAGTGTCTGTACACCTCTTTTCTGATTGTCCACTGTTGTCTTCACTCTCTGTTGAACAAGGTCTCTCTGTAAACGAGTCCTCCAGGCTCGGTGGGACTAACCTGTAGGGTTAAAGGTTGAACGACGTCACGTTTTGGTGCCGGTTCGGACCGCTTGGAACCCCAGAGGAAAGGGTTCTGAAAAAAGGGACCAGTTCTATGAACCGTTACGAATGGAAAAGGGGTGGGCGCCCGGGTGTGACGGAGCTAAATGTTTGTGGCGGCAGGAAGCTCGTTAGCCCGTCAAAAAAATTACTCAATTAATAAAATTCCATAAATCAGCAGCAGCTTAGAGACCGGGACGTACGGGACAGCTGCACCCAGCTCAGAAGAATGGACATGTCCTCATAGACACCTTATGTCCCATATGTGGACACCTGCTGTCCTCGTGTGGACACCTGCTGTCCTCACGTAGACACCTGCTGTCCTGGTGTGGACATCTGCTGACCCATACGTGGACACCTGCTGTCCTCGTGTGGACACCTGCTGTCCTCACGTAGACACCTGCTGTCCTGGTGTGGACACCTGCTGACCCATACGTGGACACCTCCTGTCCTCACGTGGACACCTCCTGTCCTCATGTGGACACCAGCTGTCTTCGTGTGGACACCAGCTGTCCTCGTGTGGACACCAGCTGTCCTCATGTGGACACCTGCTGTCCTGGTGTGGACACCTGCTGTCCTCAGGTCTCACCTGGTCTCTGTTGTTGATGTTGGAGTAGGGCAGCGCTCCTGACATCAGCTCATACAGAACGATCCCGAAGGCGTAGACATCGGACTGGAAGCTGTAGGGGTTCTTGTCCTGCAACCGGATCACTTCTGGAGCCTGGTGAGGACACAGTCACAGTTTTATGATGATGTCATTGTTCATGTTCTCATGGTGGACAACAGGTTTAGAAACCATCTGGACCTTCTGGTTGTCATGGAGCAGCCTGATGCTGCTGCTGCTCATGAAGCTCAGCATCCCAGCATGACTGTCCCGAGTCTGTTCCGGGTCTGTCCCGAGTTTGTCCTGGGTCTGTCCTGAGTCTGTCCCGGGTCTGTCCCGAGTCTGTCCCGGGTCTGTCCTGGGTCTGTCCTGGGTCTGTCCTGGGTCTGTCCCGAGTCTGTCTCGGGTCTGTCTCGAGTCTGTCCTGGGTCTGTCCCGAGTCTGTCCCGAGTCTGTCCCGGGTCTGTCCCGAGTCTGTCCCGAGTCTGTCCCGGGTCTGTCCCGAGTTTGTCCTGAGTCTGTCCTGGGTCTGTCCTGGGTCTGTCCTGGGTCTGTCCCGAGTCTGTCCTGGGTCTGTCCCGAGTCTGTCCCGAGTCTGTCCCGAGTCTGTCCCGGGTCTGTCCCGAGTCTGTCCCGGGTCTGTCCCAAGTCTGTCCCGGGTCTGTCCTGAGTCTGTCCCGGGTCTGTCCTGAGTCTGTCCTGGGTCGTCTGCGTTCCGGGTCATGGTGGAAGGTGAATCTTCAGCTCAGTCTCTCTGAGAAGCAGGTTTTCCAGCAGGACCTCAGGTTTTGCTCCGTTCACCTTTCCCTCCACCCCGACCAGTCTTTAGTCTCTGCTGCTGATAAACCCTCCACAGCATGATGCCGCCCCCCCGTGCTTAATGGCGGGGGTGGACAGGTGACGAGTGGAGCTGGAATGGAGTCCAAACTGTCCGGTCTGATGGAACCGAAGCCCAGATCAGCGTGTGCAGTTGTTTCACAGCCAGGTTATCAGGAGTTGGTGTTTCCTTCACCAAGACCTTCTCCCTTGATGGCTCGGTCAAGAGACGAAGTCTTGGAAGAGTTGATCCAAACCTCATTTGGGACTTATGGAGGCCTTCCTCACATCTGGGACTTCAAACAGTTTCTGTACATCAGGAACTTCTGACCTTAAACTTGGTTTTGTTCTGCTCGTCAGCTCGGAGGTCTTCTACAGAGAGGTGCGATCAGTTTACACGGCTGGACTCCAGTCGGGTGTAGAAACATCTCAGCAGAGATCAGGACAGACAGGAGATCTTCAACTGTAGAGGCCGAATACGTCTGAAAACGCTTTGACATTTCTATCAACTCACAGAAGTTTGTACCAATGAGTTGTTGCTCGGAGGTTCTGGGTACGGCAGGAAACGAGCAGCAGTGTTGGAGGTGTGCGAGAGAAGAACGTCGTGAAGTCTGCTGGAGAACTACAGGAACATGGTCCACGCGCTTCCTAACTAACTGAGTACAGCTAATGGAATGAAAACTGAGCTCAGGAAGGTTTGGCAACAGGTGGTGGAGAAGGTTTAGAAGGTCTGCCGACCAACACTGACCATCCAAAGGATGGAGCCGGACAGCTGCTCGAACTGGTGGGAGCCGCTCCAGCGAGACTTGACTGTAGCCAGGCCGAAGTCCCCGATCTTCACCGTCAGGTCCTCATGGAGGAAAATATCTGGGAGGGGTGAAGGAAAAGCCCTCCCACTGCAGAGCGTGAACACAAGCGAGAACATTAGGACTTTCCAAGGATACTGTTGCTCTTCAGATCTCTGTGGATGATGGACTTGGCGTGCAGGTAACTGAGGACAAACAGAACCAGTTAGCAGCTGGAAGGCTCTGATGGACTCTGTGGGGAGGAGGGAGACTCACTCCATGCCCTGAGCCGTCTGCCGGGCGATGTCGATCAGTTTGATCATCTCAAACTTGGTCTCGATGATGTGCAGGTGGTGATAGAGACTGGAGCCCTCACACCACTGGGTGACGATGGCCAGCTGGGGCTTGGTGGTGTAGCCCATAAACAGCAGGATGTTCACGTGACGGGTTTTCCTGGACCAGAGAGCAAACGTATGAAGTGAGAACATATAGATCATGTGTAGTCACGCTTATATTACTACCTTCAAGAACATCTTCATACCAACTCATCCTACTTGCACCGATGTGTAGATGCGTAATGTCTGGAGTAGAAGCTACTACTTCTCCTCACACACTGAGCTCTGCGTCTATAAGAGCAGCTAATTTAGGTTTTAAACAACACACCGTGTTGTTGTTTATCAGGTTTCTTTTGGACCTTGTAAATATCAGTTTTTTACTTTGAGGTCATTTAATTTGCGCCCTCATTCCATCTCTAGTAGTTCTTGTTTGTTCTTTGAGAGTCGGATCTGTTCTCCTCCCGAACGGTTCATCTTTCTGTTGACCTGCACAAGACGAGTAGAAACGCACGACTCACCAATGCTTTCTTTTTTCTCACTGGCTCTCTAACGAGGCGCACGAGTTCCTCCCCTCTCCCTGGTCTCCTCCTGCCCTCAGTCTGGACTCTGGAGCTCCTTATAAAGTCTTTCTCATGGGATGGGATGGAGTTTGTTGATGCTCTGAAGGCAGCTGAGACCACAATCACCAACAACACCACTGGTACCACACTAATCTGTAATCTGATGGACTGAATGCCCTCATTCTGAAAATTGTCCAGGCAAATACAGGTCTTTCTTTTTTCTCACTGGCTCTCTAACGAGGCGACGCGTTCCTCCCCTCTCCCTGGTCTCCTCCTGCTCTCTGTCTGTGTATCGGAGCAGCTCCTACTTTTACACATCTTTCTGAAATGAAAACCGTTTTGGATCTGACCAACTGGACTTTCGACGTAAATTACAAAATCCTTTCAACAAAGCGACGGGGTCCTGGAGAACCCTCATCTGCTCCAACGAGACGCACGCAGCTGGATAAATCTCTGGGGGTGAAGTGTCGACCTCTGCTATCGAATGAGGACACCAGAATTTCATATAATTGGATTTATGATAACAGGTTTCCTGTTTTTGGAATAGTCTGGTTCCTGGTTTATCAACATACAAAGAAGACGTCGCAGCTAATCTGGACCTGGTCAGGCTGCTGTCCAGGTGAAGGTCTGGTTCGTGCTGGAGGACTCAAAATCAGCTGATTTACGAGTGAAACCGTAAGTTGGAAGTGATTTGAATCGTGGGCCACCTGTGGCTTTGGGACTCGTCAGCAGGAACACGAGCATGAAGAGGCTCGTAAGCACTGACCAGCAGATTGCACCTTAATCTGGACATTTGGACCTTGGAAGTACCAGTTCAGACTCGAGGCTGACGGAAACTAGTCTGAATAAATCAACAATGGTGGTTTATCTGAATCTCTCCCCAGTTGGCCTCGAAACAGGGCGACTTATCAGTTTCTCCTGGGAAATGTGTAAACTAAGGAAAAGCTTCGTCCCCCCCCCCCCCAGCCCTTCTGTGAAGGCTTATCAGAACTGTGCCGGCTGACCATCATCTTATCAGGACAATGGACTATCTGTTAGTGCTTCATGCCTCGTCATAAATACACAACATGTTCATACATGTGCTGCTGGCAGAGTTTTTAATGTCTTCAATCGTGTCCTGGTAGGACGAGGTGTGAAGAGATCTTTTTTGTAATGCCACCATCCTCTCCTCGTGACTTTGTCCCTTTTTCTATCTAAAACAATATTCTGAAAAGAATAAGAGGCCGTGCTTTACAGCAGCAGCTTCGTGCACTCAGTCCAGACGACCGTACGGACATGTTCTCGTTGTATCTCGGTGAAATGATAAAGTTTATTCTGATCGTACTGAACAACCTGGAACAAACACACGGTTCTGTTCAATGACACTTGATTTCATCAAACAGCAGAAAAATGGTTCTCAACACGATTTCATTCATTCATAAACCTCAAGGAGAAAATGTCATGTTTTACAAAAAATAAATAAATTATATTTATATATATTTTTTTTTTTTAATTATATATAGTACATAGTATATATGTAAAAATACTTAACCATGAACATTTTTTATTTTAGAACTTGTCCAACCTTTACTTGCAGCACCCACACGTTTATACACAACTTAAATTTAATTTAACATGCACGGACCGACAGGTGCAAGGTGAGTCCAATTTCCTGTCCTTTCTGCGACGGGGACAAGAACGAAAAATAAAAAGATGCAATAAGTCGGATGCACGAATGTGCACAACTATAAACTAAAACTCTGCTGAAGCACCTTCTGATTTAACTCCACCACCTGTTCCTCCACCTTGCAGCAGTTAGAGTCCCTGAGGCTCAATGGGATTGACCTGCGTAAATAAATGTTGAACGGATGATGAGCCTGAGTTCAAGTCCAGCTGTCCCAGCAGGACTTTCATGACCGTTACTCAGTTCTGTCAAACAGACACTTGGAAAGCGTCAGAGGGATCTCGTCTCCAGTCAGGAGGAAGTCGCAGAGCATACCTGAGGACCCCCACTTCATTCTTGAAGGCTTGAAGCTGTTGAGGTGTGGGGGCGGTGACGTTCAGCATCTTCACAGCCACATCGCCTGCAGGAGAACGACAACACATCACTCCACTGACGCACAGTAGTCCCTCGTTTATCACGGGGGATCTGTACCCTGAAGCCCCGCGATAATTTACATTTAACTTTCATTTCACGTTTAGTAAACCAGACATTAGCACTCAGAACATGTTTATTTCCAGTGCGAGCACCAGCAGGTACTTGTTGTATGATCAAGAAAATGGAAACCACAGTTGCACTATATAACGTCGTAGCCAGTAACACAGACCAGTCACTAGGGAGCACCAGCCAGTGCATCTGTCGTGTCGGTGCCCAAGCCCGGGGGATGTGAGGCTTGTGTCAGGAAGGGCATCCAAGTAAAACTCTTTAGCTGAAACTATAGCGTGAGTTGATCAAAGTGAAACCACCAGATCGGTCGAGCTCCGGGTTAACAACGGCCACCACGGGTGCTGTTGACAAACTGGGTGCCGACAAACTGCGCTACTCTAGGAACTCTAAAAACACCATTCACTGCTGTGTAAAATGAAACTATAGGATCCAGCTGGACTCCTACAGCCTGAGTTCCTGCAAGAACCAACGCACACATGTTCCTGCTTTTAGTTTTCTACACCGCCTCATAATCCAGCTGTTTGTTTTTCACTGCTTTTTCATTTCAACTGTTCTTTTTGTTGCCATTTTATTTTAATTTGTAAAAAAAAATTAAACTCGTATGCATCTTTTATGAATGTCCGTTGTTGTCATCACTCTTTGTTAAATCAGGTCTCCGTTGTAAATGAGTCCCCGAGGCTCAGTGAGACTAACCTGTAGAGATAAAGGCTGAATGAATGATAAAACAGGTCAAGCCCCTCCCAGTCGGTTTCCAAGGTAACAAGATCAGCTGTTTATGGGAGACACTGCAAGACCAACTAGGTAACAATGATCTGAATAAAAGTATAACGCGAACATCACAATAATTAAAGACAACCCACAGGACTTCAGTGTCAGTGTCTGGAAACAACCAAGCAGGAAGGTCAAAGGTCAGCAGCTGTGTTAAAAGCTGGAGGACACAGTTCAGAGCAGCTGAAAGCTGCAGAGATGCAGTCTCAGAGGTCCAGTTGCACTGCTTCCCCTACCATTAAACAAGAAGGGCCCCGCCCTGTCAACACAACCAAGCGCCCTGCCTACCACCCCCCGCCACCCCCACCCCCACCCCCAACCGACAACTGCCAGAACTGACGTAGCGCTAAGCTAGCGGCACACAACACAGACGCGCTAGCTAAAAAAGCTATGACCATGGAGACAGAGCTTCAACCGTCCCGCCTAGTGCTGAGACCCCCCCGTTTAATGATGGACAAGTTCACTTGACAAAGATAAGACAGAACTTTACTGGTCCTGCAGGAAATAGTTATGTCCTCCTTTAGATGTCCACCTTTAGATGTCCACCTTTAAATGTCCACCTTT